TTTTAAATAACCCTCCTGATTTTGACGATGATGTGCATATGTTTATATTTGTGTAATAATGCATAGATCAGGTTTAATATACAAAAATATAAAACAACTTCGATTTCACCTTTTTAAAAATTACGCCATTTAATATGAGAAAAAAATCGTGAATTAAATGACTTTAAACGTAGATAAATTATAGTTTAAAGTTAGCGAAAAGGACTCACAAGACCTTCGCACACATTTTAAAGTTTTCAAAAAGCACTGTTACAGATGTAATTGTGCCGTATGCTAATTCTAATAATAGATCAAATGCTAAAAGATTCAGATGACAAAATTCTATGAATAAAAATGGTGAGCTTAGACAAATTATAAAAAAAAGAATCAGACATCTCTTAATTATTGACAATTTCAATTATTTTAAAAATTTATACTTAAAATTTTAAATAAATTTTCTTTTTTTTCAGCTAACTGGATACTTTTCTGAGGGTAGTGTATTATATTAGAAAGCTTTTATACTAGATATCTAACTCAGATTTAATAATTTATAATATAATTAACCTTTCATTATAGAAAAGGCTATCAAATTAGAAGTTCTTGAGTAAATAGTTAAGCATATGTCTACACATTCTCATAAAAAGCTGATTTATATTCTATCCTTATTTGTAATTAGAAGAGAACTAGAAATAAAATTATTCTATAGGGGAAGGACAGATCTATCTATGATGATATTATATGAATCCATTTTAAGGAAATTTATCACGTTATAAAGTTTATTATATTTACTGCATATCATTTTAAAAATAAAATAGTGTTACATTTTTAGTATTACAATTGATTATATAATTTTTTAGTATTATAATTGGCTTTTAAAAAATTCATCTCACTTTTAATTTTTGTTAAAATGTAAAAATGTAGTACATTTTGTATTACGAGTTGTTTATCTTTATTGAAGTAATAAACATATTTTCAAGAGTACAAATACCTTAAGAATTATTTTATTTTAAAGTCACAAAACCTTTAAGAAAGTATGTGAATGCTTTTGCATTTTTAGTAATGATAAAAGTCATAATATTACTCTTAACAAAAAGGAGCTTCAACTCCAAGCACAAAGTAATTGGAGAGAAATTAAAACAAATAACAAAAATGATATTAAAAATCTTATTTATGAATTATAGAAAATACCTATTCAACCTTTTTCCTTTACTTTTTTTCACAATCTTCATGATAGAATTCTGTAATAAACCTTTAACATTCCTTTCTAGAAACTCTTCCAAATATTCCTAATAATGTATAATTTCTATCTAATGTATCAACACAAAGACAATTAGATACTATTATTCAAAAAGTCAAGGCTGAAGTATATGAGTATACTAAGCTATCACAAGTAGCAACATCACTGGAACTTTATTCACAATTTTTTTTAAAGATTAAAAAGCTTGAGGAGACTATAATAATAGGAAAGATAAACTAAAGCAGTTAGTAATCTGGATCATGTGACCGTCAATTTATCATATAGTGGTTTTGTAAAAGTCTCTTCCTTAAACGCAATAGATATTTTGAAAAAGACGTTGGTGAATGAACGTGCAAGGATGTTATAAAACATTACCAAAAAAAAAAAAATAACGTACAACATAGCTTTAAGCAGATACTTGATCATATCAACGAAGACGACAAATTATGACACTGAACTATCACGTAGAAAACAAGCACAAATTATACTTGACGCTGATTAAAGACTGAAAAAAAGAGAAAGGTGAAGAAGATGAGTATAGTCAAGCTATACACACTTCGATCAGTTATGAACTCTTCTTAATTCGTTCCTACTCTTCCTTGGCAGAAGCTGAATAATTCTTAGTTATTCAGTTATGAACTCTTAGTTCCTGCAAAGCTGTACAACTCTTAGTTGTACAGTGATGTATTCTTAGTTCGATACACTTCCCTCAAATGAAGTCTGTTATATTGCATATGATTTTTAATCTGAGAACTATTCAATTTTTTTTTTGTCTAGGGATGGACAAAAGACGCTAAGGAAAATAATAAGCAAGTCATGAGCGTAATATTCTGGTGATAAGGTCATTTTTAGACGGTTATGTAACGAAATACACAAACATACATGTACAGTTTTTTTAGACAGAGCAAATAATGAGGCTATAAGAAAAGCAGTCGTTCGAGATCAAGCTGTATTACACTTGCCAGACATCTGGAGAACTTTAACGATGAGCATATTAAACATCGACAAGAAAAAGGCGTTATTCGAATGATGGATTCGCAAGTCCAAAATTTATCTAGCAAAAACATCCGTTAATCTTTTGGCCACATTGAATGCATAGATCGAGGTTTTGAAAATTTTTAAGGTGAAAATATTTCTTTTTCCAAAGGATCGTTTAAATTTACTGTATTTGGTTAAAAATAAATCACGCCGTATTATTTATTTTTTCGCGCTTCCTACGAATTTAGATGTTAAAATAGTCACATTTTTTGTGACCTAACGTTGAAAAATTCCCTATATATTTAGAGATTTTACGCTTTATTTAACTTCAAAAAAAAAAAAATTGTACTTTGACACGGTAACTTTTTTTAAAGGAAATGATTACAATTTTTATAACGTTGATGCCAAATATTTTCAAAATCAAGGATTTAACAAAGGCATTTTCGACTTGAGAAATTTGTCAGTATGAGCTAGCTTATCAATTACTACGTCACAGTAAAGAAAAATGGAAAGTATACGACAAATGCATGAACTTGATAATCGCGCTTTGATACCTATACGCAGCTTCCCTGTACATTTTCCCGCATTACATTTTCTTTTAAACGCTCATGCATTTACACTGTACATAAAAATTGACATTATTAATAAAAAAAAAAACTTTGATCCGAAAAAAAATTGCTACAAAATTCCATAACGTTGCAAGTACAATTTATCTAAATCAAGCATAATGGTCGGTAAAATCTCTACTCAACAACCAACGTGTTCTCGTTAAGGGTAGGTACAAATTTGGATTTATTACCCATATAATATAATTATTTATATCCGTTCACAACAATATACACACTTACAATCAATATCTTCGAATAAACGTTTTCTCCACAATGAGTCGTGAATCCAGCTACGCCACAAACAAACATGCATGAAACTTAATTTGTTTTAGGACACAATTTGATCGATTGTTCCATTCGAGGACTCTTTTTCAACGAAAAAAAAAATGTGAGCAGGGAAATTTATCGGCTGACCATTGGGCGTTATCAAAATGAGAGGTACCATCAAAAAAAAAAAAAAGCGCGAGAATAATTAATTGACGTTAATGTTTCGAAATTTTTTTTTTTTTTTTTTTTGAACAATATGAAGCTTTTGAATGCGTTGGATGAATATTTCTTGAATTAGAAAAAAAAAATAATAATAAGAAAATTTTTTTCTTTGTTATCGTGGCAGTGATGACTTAATAATACTAATAACAAGAATACACCTGAATTTTAATAAATCATCTTTTTTTCGAGAACTTCATATTCTTTTTATTTTACTGTCAAAGAAATTTCATAATTTCATAAGATATTACTTCATTCATTATCTTGATGAAAAAAAATATTATCTTTATCAATATGTTTCGCATCAAAGAGTCAATGGTTAGAATTTATCTTATTGTTTTTATTTCCCGAAATAGAACGTCCTCAATAATAAAAAAAAAAAACTTAACAAAGAAAAAAATATATACACTGTACATTATTCATCTGTCAAAATGACTATAAGGTTAGAAATGAAAAATGACAGACAAAACAATAAACAAATAATGATTGGCAATTATAAAAATAAATAAAAAATAAAAATTTTTTTTTTTTTAAAAAAAAATGGGGAAGATGATGTTCCTAAATTTCGTAAGCGCATTTTGTCATGTCAGAAAAACATTATATATAAAGATGAGCAACATTAGCATCAGATCATTCCGTTTACGGAATACAATGAAGTTTACGACAATGCAAGCCAAGAGAAAAACGCTATTTCATGACAAGAACGTACGACATTCGAGATGCCTGATATTTTGTAATAAGACAATTAAAAGAAATTTTATTCTTGTATAACGAACCATCATCAAGAAAGACCACTCGGTCCATATTATACGAAATGTACACGTTATCAATCTACTTGGAGTAAACTTTTACGCACGAACTTTGAAACTCAGTTACTCGGCAGGTTTCTATGCAATTGTACATAACAAGCAAAAAAGTACTGTACGTCATGCATCCTTTAATAATGGCGGCTCGTAGAACATTGTCAATCCAGATGAATCTGATGTCATTAACTTATCCTGTTGCGTATAGAATGAAATTTTTTAATAAGTTGATTGAATGATATTGTCCATACGAATAAAGTTTAAAATGTCATTTACACCTGATGGATAATTTTTTATGAATTGTTTTACATCTTTAATTTAAAATTAAAATGATTAGGTTTGTCAATTTATCCGGGTGAGTTTAATTTTTTCAGCAGAAAGGAAAAAAACCAACCATCGCGGAAACCACATTCGCTGCGCCAACGCAAATTGCCGCAGCAGTCGGATCCACTCATAACTTGATTGTGTCGCACATGACGTGTCAATTCTCCACCAAATTAAATTGGCGGGAATGCACGGATGCACACTGTGCTGTATTGGACAATATGTAAAATTTAATCTCATTTAAATTCACGTGAAGTTTGCCATAAAATATCTCGTTCAAAATTTTATTATTCTTTTTTTCAAACAATCAACTTCAGTAGAATACATTACAACCATCCAATAAAAATTATTAAGATTAAACCTTAAAAATAATTACCAACATGTAATACGAAAAGAAAAAAATCCCCTTTTTCCTTGTTTTTTTTTTTTTTTTTTTAAAAAAAAAAGGGGGGAGTAAATTTTTTTAAAAACAATGCTAATAAATTCTATGAGTCTAATAATAAGATATACAGTTTTTTTTTTTTTTTTTTACAGGAGGATTTATTATTGTCTTAAAAATATATATATATATTAAATGTAAAAATGTTATTGTCCAGCAATTTCGGCATACCACTTGTTATTCTCTTCATAACCATCACCACCCAATACCACACCATGATTAATATCATCTCCATTGCTATAAAGCGGTAATTTGTTGTTAACGTTCTCCAAGATGATAATATCACCTATTGCCCATACACCATTTTGTTCGTTATGGTACCCAGACTCTGTGGTGTGACGTCTGACAAGCCAATTGCTATTCTCACTTTTTCCCGTGAATGTCCAAACTATAAAAAGCAAATAAAATAAAAAATAAATTTAATATTATTGTGTGACTCGGCCGAATTCTCAAGGTAATTTTTATTTTGATTTTTGATTAGATCTTGTCTTCTTACCATCACGTCCGGGATGATCGGCAGCATGTAGATTGGAACCGGTTGTTTCATGCCTTAAACCAACAACAGAATTTAATAGTACAGGATCTCCAGGGGTTTTGTTTTCACCAAACGGCGAGGTTACAATCCAAACTTCATTGGTGGCTGGTTTTGAGCCATTACAAAACACCTAAATAAATAAAAAAAAATTTTTTTTTTTTAGAACGTACTAAAGAAAATAATTAAATGGATTATAAAAAAGTTTTTACGAACCGTTGATAATTTAGAATCGGGTTCGATTGGTTCATGTTCTCCGTGAGTTAAATATTGACCGCTAACACAATGTTTGATTGTAATTTTTGAACCATATCTAATCTGGTGCATCGGATATTCGTACATGATTCCTTGAAATAATTTGATAACCCATTCAAAGTCATCGATGCTTCTAAATTTGCTCGCCAAAATATTTCTAATATTATCATCTTGCAAACTATTTAATAGATAGGTCTTTTGCTCTTCCAAACTTGTGATATTCGCCGAACGACATAAGGATAAAAAATTTGAAATAAAATCCGTCATGTCAATATTTGCATTATATTTTATACAACGTAAGGTATGTAAAGCCGATGCGCTCATAACCGGAAATGTGATATGAGATTTTAATGCATTTAAAAAACCGGAAAATGTACAAGTGTTCTTCGGTATTGAAATCATTGGATCCACTTTCAATATCGCGAATGATACTATTTCGCTCTCTTCTTCTATACCATGTAAACGACAGAAGAATCTTAAATCTTGTAACCATGATTCTGGGTCCTGAGTTCCATTGTATTTACTTGGGTGAACTGTTACCGCAATGAGCGGTAATTTACATGAGCTACCGAATTGTTCTGACATCTCAATTTATAATAAAAAAATAATTCGTTTCTTTTTTTTTTTTGGGGAAAAAAAAATTTAGGATTTTATAAGTATTTTTAATTTTTCGGTTGAAAGGATTTTTTTCAAGAAATTTTTTTCTTATAAAAAAAAAAGGCAGTGTTAATATGCGTTGAATATAAATAAATATATAAATAAATGATAATAAGTGAAGAAAAAAAATTAATAATTTTTTTTATGCTTTGTGAAAGAAAAAATTCCCTGAACGGTAATCGTCCTATCTACCCTATTTATACACAAAAACAACCAAAATAATTGGTATAAAATAATAAAAAAAAAAAAATTATAAATGATGAACAATGGGATAAATGGGATATCTATTTAATTTAAGTTATTGAAAAATGCAACACTACTAATCGTACATTACACATTACAATCGGTGAAAAAAATGATTTCTTAATGTGGCGCAAAGTAACGAAAAAGAAAATGGGAACCTTTCCCAATAGATGAAAAAATGATAAAATGAAAAAAAATTCCGCATTGTTAAATCCATTGTTATCTTTTCTTTTTTTCTCACTCTTTCTTTCCACATACTATAATATGATTCTATTGTGCTTAAACAAACACTTTTAACTGTATATAATTAATTACCTAATGACGAAATAATATTTTCGATATAATGTGTTACTGCGCCATCCATGGAACTTCATTTGGAATTTCGATTCCGCCACTTAAATTCTGTTATGGATACGTAACTTCAAAGGACAATCATAATAAATATTGTCATTATTTTCTTAAATCATCAGGGGAAGTTTTAGTGTAATGTTTGTCGCTGACGTAATTAAATCTCGAAACGCAAAACACCGACCTACTCTCTTTTGGTTGAACGGACGTTTATAACTCAATGTTTATGATTTGAATACACGTTTTTTACACAAAAAATTTCTCCAAATTTTTATTATAATGACTAAACCTTATTATCCATTGATTTATTGGATTTTTAAAGGACCTAGAAAAGGGAACGAAAATCTTTCAATATTTCAGGTTTCTATTCTGGATTAAAATCCCTGATCATCATCCTGGATCGTAAAATTGTTTGACCATTTTAAATTTATTAATTTTACTCAAATGGTTCACAATTCAACAACATCTGATCATTTGTTACCCCAATTAATAAAGTATCATTTAGATTACTGTAAATATTTATAAGGATATAATCCACAATAAGCTCGAATATATATTCATCAAAGAAGGCAAAAGATCAAATCATAAAAATCAAAAATTACCCACGTCTCATGGCGCAGCTGCGACATCTATAATCGTTCCCATTGTTAACGCATGTGCATACTTGGTGGGTATGCACATGTCTTCAACGAATCATCACTCTTGATTATGCCGTAATCATTGCCGATCTGGATAAAATTATTTCTTTTTATTAAACGCAACTAGTTATATATTTGCAATGTGGTGACGATGATTATAGGTAATGCACCTCCTTTTTTTTTTGCAAACACACAAATTGGGAGCATGATGCGGGTTTTGGCATTTCAAGTGTAAAGAACTTGATTTGGTGAATTAAAATCAATCTTTGCACTGAAACGGCGGCATCGTGGTCATTCATACATAGGAGAGGGAAATGCAGTGAATTATGCTCCTTAATTTAAAGGACAATTTAATGCGCTCTTCACATGTCTTCAAGGAAAATGGATTTGTTCTAACATGGATATAGCACCAAAATAAGTAATGATCAAAATCAGCTCTATAGAATCCTCGAATGCGACCACCGCATCGGGAAGAGGAACGGGATAAGAGAGTTGACAAAGGGAAGTCAGTCTTTTCTGTCTCGTCGCTCGTTTTACATCATATAAAGTTTACCCAGCAGAACAAAGAAATGCTAAACGTTGCAACATTATCAGCTACTTATAGGAACTTCTGATGTTTCTTGAAGAAAACTGCGCCATATTGCCCGACTACTTCAACATTCACAAACGAATAATAAACGTGTAGCATCCATTTAGTTGGAATTGTAGGAAACAACCAACGGCCAATATACACGCAATTATATAGAAACCAAGATATGTACGCATAATGAAAAGATTGCCCAAATTACCCAAATCCAAAGAAATTTTTTGCTTCCAATATCCCTCTAATTGTTGCCATTTTCGATTTGTCAATCATTATGTAATTTCATTTGGATTCGAAAAATTGTCAAATTTTTTGCCTTTTATATATATGCTTAAGATCGCATTGCGCTTTTTTTTATATTTGAAGGGCTTACCATAATGGCAATTTGCATGTTGTCTGTTTAAAACAACATACAACTGAAGTCATCATGGACAGGTTTTGGTCACACAAAATACGCTAGGACCAATTTTGTTTAGACATTTGTCAATAAAAAGTAGCTTATACTAGCTTCTTTTAAAATTTGGAGACAAAATTCTTGTTAACGAATAAATACTTTTTGATTGGCCAAAATCTTTTCACGTGATATTTATTTCCATTTATGGAATTTAGTTCCTTTACATCAAAAAAATATAATATCTTTCATTTAAAAATTAAATTTAATATTGTATATATTATGATATATATCATTTACCAATATAAAACTATTCAAATTATTTTAATATACATAATTTATAATAAAATTATTAATTTTATAATATAAATAATATTATTATAAATATTTTTCTTATAATAATAATATTTGCCTATAATAATAAGAACCATTTTTAATTATTTTAAATATTTTAAAATAATTTATTATTCAAAATAATACTTTTATATGACGTATTTTAAGTAAATATTAAAATAAATATATAATAAACTAGTGATTTTTTAAAGATAAAAAATATATAATAAATTATTATAAAAAAAATTAAAGTTTTAAACTCTTATATTTTTGTTATTTATTAATTTCTAAAATATAAAAATATTACTATTTATAGGTTTTAATAAGATAAATTAATAAAATAAAATTTTATTTTTATAATTATTAGGTTATTTTAAAATTTAAAAATTAAAAATTTAATATATATATTAATAATTATTAATTTTAAAAATATAAAGAAACTATATTTAATATACACTACTTGACTAAAAGTAATAAACACTTAATTTTTATCATTTACTAAAAAATATATATAATAATAAAACCTAAAGTTTTAACACATGATAGTATAATACACACATAAGTTATAACATTATTATCTGTTTACTTGTAAATAAAAAGGTTAAAACGATAAATACAGAAATTAAACAAGTTTTTTCTTTTAAACTCAAAAAATGTATAATCTAACAAAATTAAAATAGAGTCAAATAATTGGTCTTTATAAGGGTAATATCACAAAAAAAAGTATTTCTAAAATTCGTAAGATTTTAAGGATGTCAGTTATCTGTAAAATTCAAAACTTTTGTAAAGAAAAAAATCTCAAAACATAATTGCAAATAGGCTGCCTAAATCTCTTAAATTTTGAATATTAAAAGACTTTAAAATAGATTGTTAAAAGAAATAATTTTCAATCAGTTAAACAAATAAAAATAAATTTCAAAAAAAACTGAACTGAGAGTTTTTATTACAACTATCAGAAGAAGTTTATATAAACTTAAATTTTTTTCTCATATTTCAATCTTCAAATTTTTTTTTAGTAATCAATAAAGAAAAAATTGATTAAAGTGATGTATTGAAAGAAAAAATTAGATTGTTAGAAAATAAAATTTTATTATTTGAAGTAATAAAAGTCATTTTACAATATTTAAAAATAATAGTCCAAATTGTATTTAAAAAATATCTGAAATAAGATTTAATATTAAAATATAGTTTCTTCAATAATACATGATGATGAAGATATAATAATGTAGAATTATTTTTCAGAAAAAAGGTTGAAACTATTAGTAAAAGTTAAAGGAAAGTAAATTCTCAAGATTATATTCAAATATTTGACTCACATTTGCTACTATTAATTGATAATAATTTTAATAGGTAAGGTTATTTATTCTAGAATGATAATGCTTCTGTCCATACCACTAAAGATAGTAAAGAATGAATAAAAATGAAGAAGATCAAAAATTAAAAAATTAACTAAGTCAATACCTAAACTTGAATTCTATCAAACACTTGTGATTAGAATTAGAAAGATGCATTAGAACCTATTCTAAATCTGCAAAAAATGTAAGAGGATTAGAAATTGCTTTACAAGAAAAATATAATCAAATTCCTAATGACATTTTATTAAATTTAATTGAAAGTATGTCTCAAAGAATTAAAACATATTGCAAATAATAGCTGGCTAATTAAATATTAATTTTATATATAGTTTAATTAATAAATATTAAAATTTAACCCTTATTATTATATATATTTTTGACTAATTAATAAAAATTTAATATTCGTTACTTTTGGTCAAATAATGTATTTAATATAACAAATTAAATTTTTTTATAATCAATAAATGTTATTATATTTGAATAAATCTAATTATAATATCATATTATGCATCTTATTTATAATACCTACAATTTTATTCAATCAAAATTTAAGATCAGATATAATGTCAATAATTAGCAAATCAAAACAAAAATCAGTTATGTAATGAAAATAAGAATTTTATTAAAAAATTTCAAAAAACTATTAATAACTAAAAAGTTTGTCTATAAAACTATCTTTGATATATTAAGTAAAAGTTTCTAATTAAATTTTGTATTTAAAAATCTTATTTATAAAATATTTAAAATAATATATTATTAAGAAAAATAAAAGGATGTAATAAATAAAATATGTAACAAGATGTTATAAATACATTTTTACTTATTATAATAAAATATAAAATATTAAAATTATATCAATCATTATTTTTAAATTTTATTTTTAGATTTATTATGTAAAAATTTAATTAAAAATTATTCATTTTAATATTAAGTTAAAGTATTTTAAAAATTTAATTAATTAAAGTATTATATTATAAATTAATATATATAAAGTAAAAATTTCAATTTTAGTGAAAAGGTCTTAGAGCCTATTATCT